GAGACGGTATCAGGCGTTTATTTGTATTGTTTCAGAATTTGAATACCCAAAAATCCCGGATTTGGGTTGTCTCACTTTCCTGAGACATACACATGTATTGTATTTAAAAGTGAGACATGTATTCTGTATTGTCTCAGATGACTGATCCCACCAAAACCGTATCTGATACACAAGATATTTGGCCGTATTGAAGAAAAAAGAAAAAAACAAAGACAAGTTTTCTTTTCAGTTGTAAATCCGAATCCAAGACAACAAATTTTTTCACCAACCAAGAAAATACTGATACCGGTATCAGGCTCAAAATAAAGACGAGATGATCTGATACTCATACATGTCTTGTATCTGTTGCGCCGCTGCAACCAGGCTCAAGCCAGCAACCCATCCATCCAAAGGGGAGTGATAACCACACTCACTCCAACACTCCCTTCTCTGAAGGGAGTGTGGGACCACACTCCAATCAAAATTGGAGTGCGGGTCCACACTCCAACAATCTGCAGGTGCATTCCCCCAGCAGGTTGGCATGCAGACCCGCATGCCAATTTTGATTGGCGTGCGGTGTGGAACTGCTGAACAATCAGAAACAGAGCTTGGAGGGGAAATAGACAACTACACTACGAATAATGTAAATTGAGACTATGGGTGCTGTTGAGGCTGCCCTCCTGTACAATGCTGGAGTTGGGAAGAGTTACACTAAGAAAAAGAAGAAAGGTGTGGCTTGTATTCTAGTAATTCTTAGTGAGTTCTAGGACAGGAAGGTGTTATCAAGGTCTAGTAATAATACCACAGAGTGTATGAGGAGTGATGAGGAAGGAGGATTGTGGAGTGAGGATTAAGGTTCAGAGGGTATGAGCAAAATATGCAGAGGTGGTCAAAGGATAATGTGCAAAATATGCAAGGTTTCTGAGGAATGAGTGCAAAGTATGCAAGGAGTCACTAAGGGGCAAAATATGCAAAAGAGGGGGGAAAGAAATTATGGCTAAATTATTTCTGGCAAAGTATGCATTGATTGTTGTATGTCTGTTGTCTATATTCTCTATGTATATGTGTGTATTGTTATGTATTATCTCTATGTATATGTATGTATTGTTATCTATATTCTCTGTATGTGTATTGTTATGTATTATCTCTATGTATATGTATGTATTGTTATCTATATTCTCTGTATGTGTATGGGGGGGTAAAAGTGCAAGAAGGACTACTTATATACTCTAAGATACAAATGAGCACAGACTGTGGCAATTCTGGTTATGAGAAAGAAATGTACATATGTAGAAATAAGAGATGAGAAATGTAAACAGAAAACAAGGATGAGTAAAGGGGAACAAACCCAAAAAGGAGAAGGGCTGTGAAAGAGTGTACTACTGTTATCCTGAAGGGTACATGTGAAATAATGAGTGTAAAGAAAGTATCTGAGAAAATATCTGATATATGTAATGAGAAAACAACTACTGTAAAGAATGTGGCTGATGCAATGAGAACAAATAATTGTAAATGAGAGTACTTGAGAAAGATATGATGTATGAAGCAAACTGTGAATATGTATCCTATGTAGCTACTGTTTAATGTAAATGTAGAGAAAAATATCTGTAAAACTAAGAATGAAAGTAACTATTGATCCAGTAAGAAATGAAATATGGCTTGAGTGAGTGACTGTATATAAAATTGGGTGTAGAATCTGAATATGTCATAATAATGAAGGAAAACCAAGTGAATATACAGTGAAATAATAGGGGCTTTGGAAAGGTATGGGTCACCACATCCTCCGCCAACTTATTGTCTGTCCCCAGACAATGCAGCCAGTATGAAGATAGAGGACTTAAGAAAAAGATATAAAGAGAAAAATATAAAAGAGAAAAAATAACCAATGAGGGGGGAAAGGGAATCCAGAAAGAGGTCCATCCAAAGGAGCCATATCCAGAGTCCAGGGTTGATCCACTTCAAGGAGGGAGTATCTGTTCCATCCAAGAAGGCCAATTCCTGTATCTAAAAATAAAACCATGGAGGTAATCTGTATCCAAAAAAAGAAGAGCCAAATCCAAAGTACTGTAATTGATCCAATCCAAGAGGCCAAAATATAATCCAGACATTGATCCACTCCAAGAAGGCCAAATCCATAGTATCCAAAAGTGAACCACCCTAAGGAAGGAGTATCTGTTCCAAACCAAAGAGGCCAAATCCAAATAAAACAAAGGTGAACCACTTCCAAGAGGCCAAGTCCAGATTCCAGGGTTGAACCAATCCAAGAAAGCCAATGTCCAGGTATCTAAAGAAAATTCTTAAAAATGGGCCACCCAATGGAGGAATTCTGTTATCCTTTCAATGAGGCCAAGTCCAAGAGTCCTGAGGTTTAAGTTCCATCTAAGAAAGCCAAAGCCAGGTGACCAAAAGAAAATCCAAGGGGAAAGACTGAGTCCAATAGTCCAAAATAGTCCTAAGGCCAGTAAGAGAAAAAAAGACTAATGATAATTGAACCACTTCAAGGGGGAGTATCTGTTCCATCCAAGAAGGCCAATATCAAGAGTAAGACCTAAGTTGATCATCTTCAAGCTGGAGTATCTGGTTTCAACAAGAAGGCCAAAGTAGGTAAAAGACTTCTGAAGTTGATCCAAGTCCAGGAGGAGTATCTGTTCCATCCAAGATGACCAAGCCAAAAGTAAGACCTGAGTTGAAAGGCAGGTAAGGTTGACAAAAGAGAAAAAAATCTGAATTCCAAAGTCCAAAAGAATCTGAGTCCAATGTCCAAAGAGGAAAGTCTGAGATTCCAAAGGGAAAAAATCCAAAATCCAAGGTCCAGAAGGAGTCCAGGGAAGTAAGAAGGTTTCTAATAATATGTAAAAGTAATATATCCAATAAAATAAACTATGTAAAATATCTTATATTCAATCTAACTGAGAAATCTGAGTAAATCTGGGGGTTCAATCTAATTATCTCTAATTCTGAAACTACACAAGTATATACCAAAGTCTGAAGGAGTTGAAGATATGTAATAACACAATAAGGGTGTAATGAAGGGGGTGATTTAAACTAACTACTCCTGAAAAAGGTTACTAGTGGTGATCAGAAAGGTAAAAGATAATTGATGGGTGGAATGCCCCAAGATAAGGAGGTGGTGGGAGGTAGAGAATTTATGGAAGAGCCCAATGAGCAAAATATGCAAGGTTGGTTGAGGGTGGAGTTTAAAGTGCAAAATATGCAATGATTTGAGGAAGGAATTAAGCAAAATATGCAAAGTTTGGTAGAGATTTAAGTGCAAAATATGCAAGGGTAGACTATCTGGTAAAGACTATAATCTGATGATGAAGTGGGGAAATCCTCAAAGATGTGGTGAATGAAGAGGAAGTTGATGTCTGTTGTCCATGGTGGATCCACAGTGAATGAATCCATGGATTACTGAATAATTTTC